GACAGCCTCAAGCAACAACTGCCATGTGTATATGCAGTCTAAAAGGTACCCAGGTGACAGGGACTGCCCTCAGCAAAATTTCTCCTGAGCCATTCACCTCTGAACTCTGGTATCGTCCCTCCTTAGCTCTACTCATTCCGTGTCAGAGCCCGGCTGCCAAAGAGGCTAACACGTTAGGAGCCGCACAGCATTCTCGCCCTCCATCGACACTCTAAGCAAACCCCGTGGGCCAGTGACAGGTTCCTGGTGCCATTTGGCCTTAGCTGTGTCCTGCCACTGCCTAGCTGACAGTCCTGATGACAAGAATGAGAAAAAGCTTGTCACGCGGAGAGTAAGGGCTGCCTTCCAGGACTGCTTGGGACTTCTCTGGGAAAAAAAAAAAAAAGACCATAGTGCCAGGTCTCCTTCGCATACCCAGCACCCAGCTGGTACTCGTAACATTTAGGAAACACCAAGTGTGGTGCAGAGAGGTGTCAAAAGAGTAAATGACTTGGGTACATCCACAGTTGCCTGCCTGTGAAGACTGTTGTTTTGCCTCCAATACAGTGGCTGTACCTGTATCTACTGATATTTTAACTACCATCTGCAGCACCCCCCACCCCCATGCCCTGTAGTTACCACCATCCTGCTCAGGTCATAGCCTGGTAGGACTTACAGTCCCATTGGCACCCAGCCCTGCCACTGCCACCAAATACAGTTTTTAACTAAGTCTCTGTTGTTCTATTCACCAATAAAGACTCAGGAGTCAGATGTTGGGGTGAAAACATACTAGCTCAAAGGGACTGAGAAGCACCCAGCTGACCTTCCTTTTTGACCTGAGACCCAGCAAGAGAGCACCTCTCCAGCCATCCCAAACCAAAAAGACCATAAATCTGCAAGTCCCTCCCTCCTCCTTCCTGTGCATCTCTCTATCCTGGCTCCTCCATACTCTCTATGGCTAATTCCTGTCAACTAGTCACTGGCTCCGCCCTCTGATCCAAGGTTGATTGATTATTAACACAGTCTTGAAGTTTCACAGTGCAATCAAATATCCTGCAACAGAGGACACACCTAAGAGTCTTGTGGCCAGACAGAGAGCACCATTACTTCAATGAATTGGTGAGCACTTGGCATCCAGTGAAGACCTAGAAACCTATATTGGAGCTTTTAACACCACAGGGGTTTGGGGCATCCAACCAGAGGTGGAGTAAGATTTTCCACCACCCCCATCTGAGTTTAGTGCCCTATATATGAGCCTGTGGAGCAGATATCAGCTCCACCCTCAGGCCAGCACAGTGGAGGGAAAGATGAAGAGGAGAAAGAGACGATTCCAAATGCTGGCTGTTGCTGGATTTGTGGCTGGAGATAGGAAGTCAAGGAAGCTAGCTTATGCTGGCTGGGGGTGAGAGAGGAGCCAGCGGCTGGGCCTGAATACTGACCCCTGCCTTCTCCTAGGATGTGAGCAGTGGTGTAGGCTCACTACAGGCAGAGCAGTTCTTGCTTCCCTTGGGGAAGCCAGCAAAGAGATGAAAAAGAACATCCAAGGTGAAGACTTCACTTCCTCCTCTGTAGGTCACAGCAAGGACTGGGGAGGAGAGCCTCAATCCTGAAGACCATTGCCAGCTTCAAATCTCTAACACAGTTTGGAGAATTGACTGGTCATCCTGAGCCCTTCTGTGTTGCTCATACGTTTCTAATGAACCATTCCCTGCCCACCGCCTCACTCACTCTGTTCGTCTCTCTGGTTTTCAGAAAACCCAAGAGAGTCGTGTTTTGACCCCGGTTCCATCAAGAACGGCACTCGAGTGGGCTCTGACCTGAAGCTGGGCTCTTCCATCACCTACTACTGCCACGGAGGCTACGAGGTTGAGGGCGCCGCCACCCTGAGCTGCATCCTGGGGCCTGATGGGAAGCCACTGTGGAACAACCCGAGGCCAGTCTGCACAGGTGAGAACAGCCAGGACCCTAGGGGTCTAAAGGCCAAGGGATGCCTGAGACCCTAGGGGTCTAAAGGCCAAGGGATGCCTGGGACCCTAGGGGTCTAAAGGCCAAGGGATGCCTGGGACCCTAGGGGTCTAAAGGCCAAGGGATGCCTGAGACGGATGGTGGGCAGAAGGGACTGTGGTGGGGGAGGGGAAGCAGGACATGGCCTCCAGGGGACTCCTGTGAAGCAAGCAGGGTCTGACAAGTGGGTTTTCATTGGAGGGGGAATGTCGTCGTCATCATCCACCCAGTGTTTCAGTCTCTCTGGACAGTCCTCTCCCTTGAGTGTACCTACTCCCATTCAGAGAGAGCTCAACCAAGGCTTGTAGGCCTGCCCTCCAGGATCTTCCCACCAGGAAAGGGGAAATAAAGGTGACCTTGGGCTGACTCCTGGGGCTGAGGACATTCTGAATGATGTCTGTAAAGCAGAGGGATGTAAGTAAAGTAAGGACACAAGGTGGTCTTGTGTTAACTCCCGTGTGTCAGAACCCCCAGAGCATGGGGGCCACCCCAATTGAAAAAGAATAAGTGGGCAAGGCTAGCACCAAGGACGGGAACAGGAGGCAGCTAGGCTGAGTGGTCCCCAGAAGGTAAGTGTGGGAAGAGAATCTTCAGCCTCCTGCTCAGTCAACGTCAGGGCCTTCATCCATCAACCATGGAGCCAAAGACCACGCCCAGGCCCTACACAGAAGCATATAAGTGTCAAAGTCTCCGTGATGTGAGCCCCAAGGGTGTGCCCTCAAGGACCCATGCCAGTGTTAACACCTAGAGGACAAAGGCTGATGTGTGTCCTTAGGTGGATTCCAGGCTAGGGACAAGGTGTCCTTGGCCTGGGCAGGGCCAGAGGCTCGGGCTGGGAGAAGGGAAGATGGGCAGCTGATCGGAGGTCACCAAGTCACCAGGCCCCTCTCTGGCTTCTCTTTCAGCTCCCTGTGGTGGACAGTATGTGGGTTCAGATGGAGTGGTCCTGTCCCCAAACTACCCCCAGAACTACACCAGTGGACAGACCTGCTTGTATTTTGTCACCGTGCCCAAGGACTATGGTAGAGTCTCCTTGGCTTACTTCTATGTTTTCTGGCTCCTCCCTCTTTCTTCCAAAATGGCAAGCCCTCAGACTCCTCCAAGTTACCCAATTCCACTGTGAGACCTGGAAGGACAGCCTCTCAGGCAGGACAGCAGAGTGTGTGGAATACACCAGGAGGGAGGGGCTGCCTGGGAGGAGAAAGAAGGCACACATCGGCATTGTGTGTGTGTTGGGAAGGAGGGAAGTGAACTGGTGAAGAGAGCTGATGAAGGCCAGGGGCCCTGAGTCTCCTCTGCATAGACTGAAGGGACTAGAAGGCCTGCAGATCCAGGCCTGCTGGGGGACCTGGCAGAGAGTGGCTTGGGAGCAGGAAGGGACTGGGAACCACATCATTCCACTTGCCCATCTGAGGCGACTCCAGCAGCTATAAGTGGAAGCAAAAAGAAACCCATGAGGCAATCATCTGCCCTAAAAAGTCAGAGAAACTTCCAGATCTCATGACAGCCAGACTGAAGAAATCAGGACTGTCACCCTGAGCAGCTGGGAAAGCAGGCTGCCTCTTCTCAGACATGGATAGGAAGAGCACAGGGCAGGGCCCAGACGCCTGAGTCATTCGGCAAGCATTTAGTGCCACCCACCAAGGCCATCTGCCCTGCTGAGGCCTCTGCCACCTAGACGGGAGACACATTCCTGTAACTCCCGGTCTCAGCCCCTCCCGTAACGCTGCCCCAGCCCCTGCACCCTCAGCTGTGTGTGCGCCTACCACACCCCTCCCCCTGAGGCAGGAGCTTTAGGCCCACAGGAATCCACTGAGGAAAGTCAGGAAACATTGTCCAGAAAGTCGAGGACCCTTGATAGCTGGCACCCAGTGCCACGCTTCACTTCTCCTTATGACGAGGAGCTCAGTCCTTTGCCGGTAACCCACCCCGAGCTGGCACCGCACAGCCGAAACCTGCCCATGGACTCTGGCTGCCAAGGAGCTGTGCTCCAGGTAGCTCCTCTCTGCCAGCGAGGCCCCCCCTGAGCCCAGGAAGAGTGGCAGACTTTCTCCTCTAGGTACAAATGACGTGTCCCCAACTCAGGTGTCAGTGCCGACATCATACTGCCAGAGACCTCTCTGTGATGCCCCCTCAGGAGTAGTCCCCCTCGCCCTGGCCCTGCCATGCTCTCGCATTACCCTAGGAGTTAAAGAACACTCTCTGAGAGTTTTGTGTAGTTGCTAAGTGTGGGCTTGGGCGGGAAGAGGCACTGAAATGCAGATCAGAAGAAAGCAGAAACCCTGTGTGTCCTGCTCACCTCTGGGGACTGCAGACCCCTGGTACCAGTGCTGTGCCAATTTCCCCTTTCCCCACGTTCTTCCGTTCCTCCTCCACCCAAGGCCAAGAACTAAGATCACTGCCGTGGCTGCCACATTCCACTGAAGATTATTTTGGACCAAGTAGTTAACCCCACGGCCTGAATCCCTCCTTCTCTGCCCTAGCACACAATATATATGGAACATACATAACATATACACAGAATACACAACACGTGGCCTAAAGAAAATACATACAATATACATACACACACAGCCTACACAAACACACACATATCCTACTTCCTATGAGCTGAAGATTGTGAGCCAAACCGGGGATGGGACCTACCTGGCTCTTGCCCACAGTGGGAGTCAGGTGTAGCCGGGTGGATGGGAGCTGTGTCCACAGTGACCCCACCCCTCAGCACTGATTGGCAGAGAGAAGAGGGCTGAGGACATCCCTGCTGTTCCCAGACCAGAGGCCTGAGTTCATGGGGGTCCCTACTCAAGTTAACCGGATGGTCCAGAACTCTTAACCTCAGCCTATGCTTCTTGGTCTACAAAATATGAATAATCCCTGCAAAAGCCACAGTCAAATAAGACAGTGCACACAACCAGTGTGGTCCCTGGCACCCAGTGGGTGCTGGGTGAATGTCATATCCCCTTTTGGGTGAGTAGGGTGGAGATGCTGTCTGCTCTGTACACTGTTCATACCTCTTCTTACCCAAGAGCTGGTGTCCAGGGGCCGACTTGGTTGTCTGGGAAATGGAAGAAAAATTCAGGTGATCACAGGCTCCTAAGATGGGGCGGGGGTGGGGGGGTGTAGAGGATGGCACCAGAAGCCTTTGCAGGTCCTCAAGTAGCTGCTGCAGCTGTTCTGTAGAAAAGAGTAAGGTTCAGTCTACCTCTACCGGCCTGCCCCTGGGTGCAGGTGTGACCCCTGGGGAGAAGACCAGCCAGGGACGCCCCCTGGTCTGTGTCCCCCGTACCCAGTGTTTTCAGCGTGCTAACCTTGTAGCAGAGGGCCCTGCTGCTGGCGCCTGCACCAGCAACCCCCTCTAGCTTCTCTCCTCCGGGCCCAAGGCCAGCAGATCCCCATCTCCCCCCCCACACCGCTCAGCGGCCTGCACAGCCTCTGCACTGATTGCCCTGTCTCCCCCACAGTGGTGTTTGGCCAGTTTGCCTTCTTCCACACAGCCCTCAACGACATAGTGGAGGTCCACGACGGTTACAGCCAGCACTCCCGGCTACTCAGCTCTCTCTCGGGCTCTCACACAGGTACCCAGGGCTGGGGAGGGGTCGGGGCGGGACGGTGGGGGGGGGGGCTAAGCCATCCCAGGACTCCTGCCAGGAATGAGGCCCTATAGGCATCATGGCCAAAGGCGCGCTGTTTCATAGCCCGCTACAGTGTGTCCACGTCAAAGGGCCACACAGAACAGAGGACCCAGGCCCCACCTTTTCTTTGCGCTATGGACATGTTGTGTTTTCACTGTAGAAAATTTGGGGCCAAACCAAAATCATCATAAGGGAACGTTTTGAATAAACAACACTCCAAACGAGTGATTGCCATGGTGTAATGCGTGTCCTTCTGCTCTTCAAATCCATGTAGACAGACTTTTCCATATTTTATTGAATAAAACTATATATATCTATATATATGTATATATATATATTTCATTGTAATTACTCTCACCATGAACTTTCCTCCGCTGTTATGTATCTTTTTTATAGTTTTAATGCTTAGTGGTTTCTTCTATAGTTATTTAAGATTTATATAACAAATTCTCTAGTGCTGTGCATTTAGCTTGCTTCTGCATTATGAATAATAACTCATCGCATTATGCGGATATCTTCATCCATATCCCTGACTGCACCTCAGCGTATCTACGAGTGGCTGAGCCAAAGAATACAGTGAGATCATTAAGGCTTTTTTGTCCAGATTGTCAAATAACCCTGATAGAAAGATCTTGCAGCTTTGTTCTCCAAAAGTGAGGTAATTTTTTAAAAAGTTGCAAATTTGAGATATGCAAATAGTATAACATTTTCTGATTTGCCTTTTTTATTGCTGGTGAGGTGGTAACCTTTTTAATAATGTCTTTATTGGCCCAATGCATCCTTGTGGCAAATTTGTGTTGATTTTTCTATTAGCCCTCATCTTTTTCATGAAGTAGAACCCCACATGGCTACAGGCAAAATACATCCTATACCATAGGAGTCTCACACACTGTAAGAAGCCTTTCCTTCCATTTTGCCATTTTCTATGTAATTTTCTTCAGGGTATGTTTTGATATCAGAAAATTGAAATGCCCCTTGATATCAAATAGATCTTTCTTTCATCATTTATGCCTTTGTGTGTATACTCTGTTTTCTGTTTCTTTTCAGTTCTGTCAATCTGCCTTAATTTCTCTGGATTTTATTTTGACTTTTTATTTGATACAGAGATGCAAACCAATTAATCAGTTGTTCTGATATGAATTTTCAAAGTGCCAAGTTTACATATTCTAATTTTTATGGTGTTTGGGTCTTTTTCCTTACTTTTAATCTATTTCTTCCAAGTGTAAATTCCTCTGTGTACAGGTTTTGGTTATTATAAAACTATAATGGTACTTAGTGTCATAATAACATTTTCAAAGACTTATTTGATGTGTGTGGGTGTTCCACCTGCATGTGTAGAAGTATATCACATGATACAGTGTCCAAAGAGGCCAGAAGAGGACATCAGATCCCCTAGAACTGGAGTTAGATAGGTTATGAACTGTCATGTGGGTGCTGGGAACTGAACTCAGGTCCTCCACAAGAGCAACAGGTGCTCTTGACTACTGAGCCACCTCTCCAGCCCTGTCATACTACTTTAAAAGGTATGCTCCTGTTCATCCCTGTGGTCATTCTTTGGTTTGATTTTTTTTTTTTTTTTTGAGACAGGTTTTTCTACTTAGCCCAGGCTGACCTCAAAGTTCTCATCCTCCTAACTCCCAGGCATGCAATACCACAACTAGCTATTACAACTTTTTAATTGGCCATTCTTGCTTGTTCGTACCTCCAAATATTATCTAGAAATATGTGGTCAGTTTAAAACATTGCATAGGGCGGGCAGGATAGCTCGGCTGGTAGAGTGCTGGCCTGGCATGCACAAAGGCGGGCATGTGCAATGCCTAGCACCACATAAACCCAGTGCAACGGTGCAGGTCTGTGATCGCAACAGTTGGGTGGTGGAAACACAAGAATCAGAAGTTCAAGGTCATCCTCAGCTACAAAGCCAATTCAAGGTCAGCCTAGGCTACACAAGACACAGAGGCAAAACAAGAAAAAAAAACATAAGAATCATCTCTAGAATTTCACAAAATGTGTAGATTATGTTGGAGAGAGCATCTTTATATTAACACTTGTTCCCAACTGAGAGAGAATATAACGTGTCTCTCCATTTATCTGTTGGGAACTTTGGGGGTCAGGCTGCCACTTTCGTTCAAACAGCGGCGATTTGTCGCTGTTCTTAGCTTTATTCCCAGCTATCTCCTGGAGGTTTTCCGCTGTCTTTATTGCTCTCTTATTATAAATGGGTCCTTTTGGCTCCCTTTGTGTTTTCTAGCCGGTCTTTGCTAATCAATTCTAAGACTGGCATTCAGAGTGCATTCCTCTTCTAAACCCATTGAACCATCCTCAACAGGGCTAATATCACAGACTCATTCTCAGCCGCTGGGTGAGAGGCTCCATCATTTGCAAATAAATTTGCTTCATTGTTTTATTTCCTCCCCCTTGGTTGGTTTTCTTTGATTTCCTCCCATGGTTCCTGTTCTATCCAGGTATATTATTTTAATTTCAATGCTAATATTTTATCTTTTGGTAAAATTCATTTCGTAATTTCTCCTCACTTGAGCAATGTCATTTGTGTGCTTGCGAGGATGGTTTTTTTTTAATGCCCCTGGCTCCGGTGCGTATGTCCCCTGTCTCTGGAGTGCTGTGCCCTGTGTTCACGGTCCCCTTCTCTGATTAGCTGTGCCGGAGGTTTATGGGGTTCTGTTGCTTTGGGAAATTCTTATTGCTCCGATTGATCAATACTTCTGTGGAGTTTGTTACTTTCTAACTAGCCACTGCTTTTATTGCATGAATTCTCTCCTCTGTTCCTTCTCCAAATTACTGTGTTCTTCTGGTCCTGCCTTCCTGGGTGGAAGCGTTGTTTGTACCTTTCCCTGTACAAGACCATGCATGTTCACAACAGTGTGCTCAGTTTGAACATGCTTACAGCACTATACTCATCTGGGCTCTGTGTCGTTCATTTTGATACACACTGTCCGATATATACTACTTTAACATATGGTACTCTCTTGCCCAAGAGTTAAGAATGTCTCTTCTGGGGCTAAAGAGATGGCTCCGTAGTTTAGATTTCTTGTTGCTGTTGACAAGGACCCAGGTTCAATTCCCAGCACCTACATGGTCTCTCACAATCATCTGTAACTCCAGATCCAGGAAACTGGCTACCATCTTCTGACTTCCATAGGCACAAGGCTCACACATAGTGCACATATATACATGAAGGTGAAAATTTCATACATATGAAATAAATCTAAAAATCCCTTTGAATTAAAAGAAGAAAAGACTATCTCTTCTGGGCTGGGAGATGGCTCTGTGGGTAAGAGCACTCGATGTTCAAGCATGAGGACTTCAGCTTGAATACCCAACACCGGCATAAAAAGCTGTGTGTGGCAGTGCGCGCACCTATACCCCAGTGGGTGGAGAGTAAAAGCAAGAGGAGAGCTGGCCGCTGAGCTGCAGCTTCAGTGAGAGACCTTGTCTCACAAAAATAAGACAAGCCAGGCGTGGTGGTGCATGCCTTTAGTCCCGGCACTCGGGAGGCAGAGGCGGTGGATCTGGGTAGCCTGGGCTACAGAGTGAGTATCAAGTTGAGGTAGTAAGACCCTGTCTCAAAAAAAAAAAAAAAAATCGAGACAGACAAACAGGCAGATGGATGACTACTGTGTTTTTCCTGACCTAACTTTCTGAGCTGAGAGCATTGTTTGGTTTATGACAGAGCTTTGTGATAGACTGTATCTAAAAGTGTAGAAGTAAAGGAGCATGATCTACAGATAAGGGTAAATGGGAGTGTGTTTAGGACAATGGGCAATAGATATAGGTGTACAAAGTCAATAGAAGGAAGGAAGGGCAGGGTGGGAAGAAATGACAGTGGAGAAGAGAAAGGAAGGAAGGAATAGAAATGGGAAGAAGGGAAGAGAAGGCGAGGGTGAGGAGGAAGGAAAGGGGACAAATGAAGGGGTGACAACTGGGAAGCTGAGGACAGAAGGGGAGGAGGGAGATGGAGGGAGGAGAGCGGTACTCAAGTCTGATTCCTCACTTAACTGTGACCCCCGTGGCTAAGGTGTGCTGGGTTGGAGAAAAGCTTCAAGTCTCCGTCTCCATTTCAGCATCTTTGCTGTGACTTTGTATTGATAGAGCAGTGGCTGAGAGAAGTGTGTTAAAACGTCTTCCGTGGAAATGGTGGTATCTGGGGTAGGGAAGGGCTTCTTGTATTTCTGACAGTTTCTGTGTTTGCTCCTCTCCTCGTTCTCTGGGAGTCTTTTCCCTCAGTGAGATGTTAGTGCTGGTGTCTGCCCGCCTGCTTCGTCCTCCCTGGGGATCGGCTTCCCAGTTGGGAAGGTACTTCTTTGCTTTTCCATTCACGCCAGAAACGTCTCTAGTTTTCAGTTTTTCATTTGCACACTTGAGCTTTGTGCTAATGGCCTTAGTAACTATCTTTAAATCATTAATTTCTCACCCAAAGGTAAGTTTTGACATTGGCCTTTGGCCGTTACCTCATTGACAAGGGTCATCTGGGGTTAGCAATCTTTCCCTAGCAGAATTTCCTCCTTGCTAGCTTCTGGCTTCTCTCCATTAGTTCTTTCTTTCAATGGGGCTCAGAATCACAGTCCTCCCTCTGTCCCCTTGAGGATGCACATGGGGCTCAGAATCATGATCCTCCCTCTGTCCCCTTAAGGATGCACATGGGGCTCAGAATCATGGTCCTCCCTTCCTCTGTCCCCTTGAGGGTACACATGGGGCTCACAATCACAGTCCTCCCTCTGTCCCCTTAAGGATGCACATGGGGCTCAGAATCACAGTCCTCCCTCTGTCCCCTTGAGGATGCACATGGGGCTCAGAATCATGGTCCACCCTCTGTCCCCTTAAGGATGCACATGGGGCTCAGAATTACAGTCCTCCCTCTGTTCCCTGGAGGATACACAAATGTCTTCCTCTGACATACCACATAAACACCAACTTGCTTGCACATCAAATTGCGGGCCACATGCTTTCTCTCTCTAAAAAAAAAAACAAAAAAACAAAAAACACGCAGATTGCTCCATCCTATTTCAGCATTTCATATTGGGATCCAAGCTGAGTCCTCATCATTGTGAATCACCAATGCTTTGCCGTCCATGGGGCTTTCATGTTTTCTGATGTAGAATATTGAACAGCCCACCAGGTTAAACTTTTTTCTCTTGTCTTATCTGGTGCTTTTGGTGAGCTGCTGCAGCCTGAGCCCCAACTCTACAAGGTGTCTTTGTTCTTAAACTCTTTTCCTTGGGATTTTCTCTCCTCCCTCTCTGGAATTCCCCGTGTCTGCTGGTTGGATTTCCCCATCTATCCTCTGCATTGCTTCTCATTTATCTCAAGACTTTGATTTCTTTGTCATTTTCCTATAGATTCTGAAAGAATACCCCAATTTCACCCCCACACCGTTGCTGGATGTCTGCACAACCCACAAGCCACATGTCGGGGTTCCCCGGCCCACATGTTAGAGAAGTGCCTCCTCCCTTCCCGGGTTACCTTCGCTGACCTCAGCGCCTCCCTCTGCCACATCTTCCTCTGGCATCGAAGATGTCTTGCTCCATTTAACCTTATGCAACCAGGACCAAAAACCTTCACTCTGTTCTCCGTTGTAATTCACATGAAAGATTTGCTTTGACTTCTGTCAGTGCCCCCCTCCCTTAGAAGTTCTCTTATGGCCATTGGTTTCTGTGCTTTCCCTAGGAGAAGGAAGTCTGTGTGTGGCCAGGACTGAAGTCACCTGGGTTCTGCCAATCACTGGGGCCCTCATTCATAGATATCAGACATGGTGGTTCCCTCTACTCACCCCCATTGAGAGGTAGAGCTGGGAAGGATGGTGGTGATGAATGGGGAGACTGTCTTCCCCAGGTTCCTTCTGTCTCAGCAGCCAGAAGTTTTCTGGGTCAATGACTCTTAGCTAGGATAAATGACACTGGACCACATGTAAATCTAAGTGTGCTGAGCAAAAGGTTCTCTCTGAAATCTGTAGCTGGTGGTGCCAAGGGGCTTTCTAGAAGCATCAGTGGGCCCTCTCAGTGACTCCCACTGATCTGCACTCCAACCCTCTCCCTGCTGGACATTGCCTGGCTCTCTGTAAATCCAGTTCCCTTTTTGAAGATGGAGTCAGGGGTCCTTAAGGTCAAAGAGGGGCAGAGTGGTCATGCCACTGCCCACCACTACATCCTGCCTGGGCTTCCACAGGAAGATAAGGATGAACAGGGTCGTTGCTTCATAGCTGCGGGTCCAGCTGATGCTGCCCCTCCCCATCTGTACCTCACCAAGCATACCTAAGCCCTGTCTGCTGTCCATGCTAGTGCTCCTCAGTGCCCTGTATCCTTACAGACTTTTCCTATCTTCTGCACAATGTGATTGGAGGACCACGCATCCTGGGGTGTCCGAGACAGTCTCAGCATCCACTGAGCTGTCCCTTCAGCGTCCTGAGAACCGCTCCCTTTGCTCTCGAGGATGTGCTAGTCTGGATCACACATCTCTATCACTTCCAGGGTGTCCGGGAAAGGCCAAGCTTTCAGATGGTCTTACTCCTTCCTTCCCACAAACCAGTGTCTGATTTTTATGTATTTGTTTTTAATTGTTCTGATTTCACTTTTCCAAGTAAACTTCCTGCTGGCATGGCATGGTAACAGCCATTCCCTCCAGCCCCATAAATCTACACGTTTTTTGCAGCTTCCTCCTTTCTGGACAGGTCATGTAATTTTCCAAACCTCTTCATCTTGCTTTGTAAATGAAGGTGCTGAGCTCTGCCATGCTGGCCTCACAGTGACCACAGATCAAGGGATAGCGTGGATGTAAAACCAGCTCTTTTTTTTGTTGTTGTTGTTGTTTTTTAGAAAGGATCTCGTGTAGCCAAGGATGGCCTCAGGCATGGTATTAACTGGGGATGGAAGATGCCCTTTAACTTACGGTCCTCCTGCCTCTACCTCACAAGTGCTGGAATTAGAGGTGCACACCACTCTACCCAATTCATGCAGTGCTGGGGGACCAAACCCAGAGTTTTGTGCATGGTAGGCAAGCGCTCTACCAACTGATCCACATCCCCAACCCGCATCTGTGAGCTTCCCACTGTAAGGGGCAGGCTGAGTTAGGTTGCAGTGAATCCTGGAATATGGAAGGCATCACTGTGTGCAGTACCTGCCCCTCCTTCCAGCCTGGAGTCTATCTGCTGAGCATCACTGTGTGCAGTATGCCTGCCCCTCCTTCCAGCCTGGAGTCTATCTGCTGAGCATCACTGTGTGCAGTATACCTGCCCCTCCTTCTGGGCCCAGATTCTATCTGCTGAGCATCACTGTGTGCAGTACCTGCCCCTCCTTCTGGCCCGGAGTCTATCTGCTGAGCATCACTGTGTGCAGTACCTGCCCCTCCTTCCTGGCTCAGATTCTATCTGCTGAGCATCACTGTGTGCAGTATGCCTGCCCCGGGCCCGGATTCTAGCTGCTGAGTGTTACAGCCAGGCTCACTGTCTTCCTTTCTCCTCACTCCTCTCGGCAGGAGAGTCGCTGCCCTTGGCCACCTCCAATCAAGTTCTCATTAAGTTCAGCGCCAAAGGCCAAGTACCAGCCAGGGGTTTCCACTTTGTCTACCAAGGTATGTAGGGTGTGGACCTTGGAGGGTCAGATGTTATCTCAGTGACTTTGTGTCCCAAGGAACAGAGACCCTTCACTTCCCATCTACACCTCCCTATGAGGACTTTGGGGCACAATTACCAAAGTGGGAGACAATTTCCTGACATCTGTTCAACTGTGTGTATCTGTTTACCCAAGCAACAGTTTCTGGGCTAAATTCTATCTTGAATTTGGGAGGAAACCACGCATGGGAAGTTAATTCCTTTCCCCCGCCCCCACCCAATGTCTAGTGCATCTCTGATGGTGCTGGGGACATCAGCCCAGGCATCTAACCTCACAGAGCTTCGTGTTGTCTGCAGTGCGTAGTAAAGGGATGGGGCAAACACAGGCTCTGATCAGGGAGCGTGGACACCAGCCATTCCACTTTCGCTCAAGTGTGAAATGAGGGTGATAAATGCTGGTCGGATTAAAAGAGTCCACCACCAGGCAGGCCGTCGGTGTTCTTCTGGGTCACTAAGACCCAGCAGGACCTCGGAGCATCTTTGCTGTCACCTGCTCAGCAACAGTGGCATCGTTAAGGCCACCAATCTCTAAGCACAGCCCTCTCTGTTTGTTTTACAATGTCCAGGAGGCCATGTACAGCCCTGTGCAGGGAGTGATCCCAACTACAAGGGGCACCATTCCTGATTCCCACAAGTCACCATTGTGCTCAAGTCATCGGCCTGCAGACCCCAGGGGCTTGAGTTGGGGGAGGGCTGTGGTTGCCATTAGGGAACACCAGGCCCTGGTAAGGAAGAAACGTCACCGGGGGAGCAAAGACGAGCTCTGAGCCTAACGTCTGGGCCCCCGGGGTTCTCACCACGATTCCTAGAAGCTGTACCATAACACTGAGTCCAGCAGTATGCCTCAAAATGAGCTCCCAGGGCCCCCTCAAGTCTTGTCCTACATGCATCCCTAGACCAGCTTCTACAGGGGTGAGGCCTGCCCCCTGAGTGCCTTTTTCCCCCACAGCGGTGCCCCGGACCAGTGCCACACAATGCAGTTCTGTGCCAGAACCCCGCTATGGCAAAAGGCTGGGCAGTGACTTCTCTGTGGGGGCCATCATTCGCTTCGAATGCAACTCAGGCTACGCCCTCCAGGGGTCCCCAGAAATCGAGTGCCTCCCTGTGCCTGGGGCATTAGCCCAGTGGAATGTCTCTGCACCAACCTGTGTGGGTAAGTGATAGCCAAGACTGAGACAGGGCAAGGAGAGACGGGGAGAGGAAAAGACTAAGGGCAGACTTCACTCCCTGAGGGACACAGCCAGTCAGTCATCAGAGATATCCTCAGGGCTTGCAGCAGTCCTCCTCAGCATCTGAGGAGAATGTCCTGTTCAGGCCTAATAACTCTCTGGTCCTGCAGGGCAGTGTGAATACAGAGAGAGAGGAAGGAACTTGAGAGGGATATCTGTGAAGAGAGGAACAGGTACAAGTCACTGGAGAACCATTGTTTGAGGTCAGGTCACCAAGAAGGCTGAGAACAGGGGGTCCCTAAGGGACAAGCCAGTGTGGGAAGGAGGCCCAGCAGAGGCTAAGGGACCCTACAGGTGGTGAGCCTGGGAGGTTTGGGAGCTGAAGGAAGAACCAGCACAAGGATGTGTTACAGCAGACTGGAGACCCTGAGAGAGGTGGGCCCTGGGGAACAGAGGGGTCAGGAGGGGCAGTCAGGGAAGAAGCCAGCACATGGAAGTGGCCCAGCAGAGGCCAGAGATCCTGAGGGAAGGGGGGCTGAAAGCCACAGGAGGAGCTAGCCCAGGAGGAGGCTCAGCAGAAGCCCATGGCCCTGAGGGAAGCCCATGGAGAAGCTCCCATGGAGGCACCACACCGTTGGAGGCACCACAAAGATGAGCCAAGGGGCCTCTGACCATCCCCGTGTCTCTTCCCAGTGCCCTGTGGTGGCAACCTCACTGAACGCAGGGGCACCATCCTGTCCCCTGGCTTCCCGGAGCCCTACCTCAACAGCCTCAACTGCGTGTGGAAGATCATGGTCCCGGAAGGAGCTGGCATCCAGGTAAGAGCAAGGAGGCTCCCCAGTTAAGTGGCTGTCCATGGATTCTGACGGTCGCTGGACCCTGAGCCAGGCTGAGGTGGAATGAGAAATGACATAGTTTGTCCCTTGTCTCTGTGGCTTTGGCAGCGCAGATGTGGAGATATGGCTCCCAAACAAGGGCTCACAGCATCTCTGGGGGAAGGTGGGAGGAAAGACAACTAGTTGAGGGCGGATGAGAGGTGGAAATTAGCTCCAGCTAGCAAGGAGGGCCCCCAGAAGGGAGTGGACCTGCAACTGGAATATGAATTTGGAGAGTTCTTCGGAGACTTTCAAATGGTTTGAGGTGTTTCTCAAAGACCGTTAAGGAGAACAAAGGGGCCTTGCTGGTGAATAGGGAAAGGGTGGATCACCAAGCCCATGTGAGGCAGGGTGAACAGCCAGGCACACACCTGGGGCGACCGGGGTGTGTAACATGTGCCCAAGGTGAGAGCAACACAGAAAGAGGCGTACGAGAGGACCCAGAGCCTGTCAGGCCAACGGAGTAATCAGGACCAGAGCAGGACACACACAGTGGGAGCAGGAAACCCAAAGAATATTCCAAATGTGAGAAAGGGCCAGAGAGGTGGCTCAGTTGGTAGAGTTCTTTCCTGACATGCACAAAGCCCCGGGTTCAATCCCCAGCACTGCATAAACCAGATAGATGTGCTTGTACATGCATGTTATCACAACTCCCTGAAAAGCAAAGGCAGGAGGATTAAAAGTTCAAAGTCATCCTCAGCAACATGGCGACTCAGGGTTAGCCTGAGCTACATGACACTTTGTCTCCAGAAAATAAAAAGGCAGGGGAGAAAGCCAGTTGGACTGAAGCATTCCATTTTCTGAAATGTCATTAAGTGTCCTTCTGTCCTGTCATCACATATCTCACATCTGTCTTGCCCACCAGACGATGAGCTCCTGAGATAGGTGTGGACCACATCTGACTTTTATAGGAAGGAACCAGCACAGAGTCAGGCCCAGAGAAGGTGTTTGATAAATTGAATTACCCATGGGAGGAGAAGGGAGGGAGGCACTTGAGCTATGTGACCAACAACTCATCCCTCCTGTCTTTCCAGATTCAAGTCATCAGTTTTGTCACAGAGCAGAACTGGGACTCTCTAGAAGTGTTTGATGGAGCAGATAACACCGTAACCATGCTAGGGAGTTTCTCAGGTAAAGTGGGACATCCAGAGCTACCATTTAGAGGGTTGTGGTAGACATCATTATTATCATCATTGTCATCATTATCACCATCATCACTACCATCATCATCATCACTACATCACCATCATCATCACTACCATCATTATCACTACCATCACCATCATCATCATCATTACTACCATAATCATCATCATCACTATCATCATCACCATCATCATCATCATCACTATCATCACCATCATCATTACTACCATCACCATCATCATCATCACCATTACCACCATCATCACCACTGACTGAGGTTTGGTATATTAACAGTGATCTGCAACCATCATTTCTAAATAATCCCAGAGCATTTCTGTAGCCCTGCAGAGAATCAAGTACCAATCCATTCATTCTCCACCCACCTACTTTCCCCTAGCCTCTGGCAACCACTCATCTTCCAATCCCCATGGACTTGTCCTTGTCCAAGCAGTTCATACAAATGAAGTCTTACACCATGTGGCTTTCTGTCTAGATTCAATACGTTTTCAGGGATCACCCTGTGTCAATTTGAGTCAGCACTGTGCTGTGTGGGTAGGCCATTTCTTCATAGACCCATCACTCAGTGATGTCTGTGTCACTTTGGTGATGGAGCTGCTGTGACTGATGCTGAGATGGACACCCACATGTAAGCCCTGGTGTCCCATATGTTGCCCATCCTCAAGAGCATATATCCAGAAATGGAATCACCATCAGTTCATTTTTTTTAAGGAACAACCAGACTTTCTTCCCCAAAGTGGATTCCCCACCGCCCATTCAGTGGCACGCTTGTGCCAGAACATGGTATGTGGTTTTGCCCAGTGGCCAAGGAAGTTACCTGAATCAACTAGGCCCAGAAATCATGATGCTAAGATAGAAAGATGACCCATTCACATCCAGATTAACTGTCTGCCCAGCTGAGTTGCCCAGATAATTATTTGTGTTGGACTCATTTTGAAGATGACTGAGTAGGGACCAGACTCACAGCCCTCTCATCACCTGAGGAGCATTGCCTCCTGGCAGCATAGGTCTATGGCACTGCTCATCCATGGCTTCCCTTCCCTGGCCCATTAACTACCTGGCTTTTGTCATTTAGCAAGTTTGATAATGGGGAGAGGGAGAGGTATTTGGGGGTCCTGGGATAGAGTGTCAGCAGGTAGTAGAAACAGGAATAAGGTGCAGATTGGCATGAGGAGGGTATGCCTGAGTGACCCCTGGTGTTCTTGCCCAGGAACAACAGTGCCTGCCCTCCTGAACAGCACCTCCAACCAGCTCTACCTCCACTTCTACTCCGACATCAGCGTGTCTGCGGCCGGCTTCCACTTGGAGTACAAAAGTGAGAATCCAGGGTCAGGGCCATCCGTGGGTGTCCGGGTGGGAACAAATGGCGGCTGGCTTCCCACCCTCAATATACCCACTCCCTCCCACTTAAGCCTACCACTGACCAGAGGAAGATGCTAAGACTTAGAGAAGGCGTGAACCCCTCTCAAGCTTGCATACTCAACTATGGAATAAAGCCAGGACCCCTGAAGCGTTGACCCCTAGAACCTGAGCGGAAAGTGGTTCAGCCTTGGCCCTAGTAGATAATCTGGGAGATAAGAAAATGGAAGTGCCCTCTCCTCTGATTCTGCAAACCGGCTTCTAATGCCCATTTGGATGATATGGTTATCTTCAAAGTTCTTTCTCTCACTCAGTCTCACTTATCATCTACAAGATTCCCTCTAGTCACCGTGAAAATCCCTGAACAGCAAGAACTGTAACTGTGCCTTTGGGGGCACAAAGAGGTTTCCAGAGAGATGGCTTTCTTCCTGGGACTGCTCTCCCCACTCCCATCTCACGCTAGGTACAAGGAGGAACCAGTGGGCACCAGCAAACAACCACCGAGTATTCCCACCCCATCAGGTGCCCCGATGGATTTTGCTAAGACCTCTAATAGACACTTGTCTTCTGAGGGCGGAGAAAGGGGAGAGAAGTTGAGAGCAGGTACAAGAGGG